GCGCGGAGGAGCAGCGGGGCCTCGTGAATGCGCTCGTCCTTGTCCCCGTCCCCTCGCCCCGTGCTCTGCGTTCCTCGTGTGTGAGGAGCCCTCCTCGCCCCTCCTGCCGCGTTTGCCACAAGAGCAGCCGGCCACCGCGTTGGCCACGTTCGTGCCCACGTGTGTTTTAAGCTGGCGTGCTTGGGGGGTGTCGTCATCAGCAATAACTTGGGCCAAAGCATCTCCAGGACAAGGAAGGGAATCAGGGGGAGGTTAGCGGGGCTTTGATTGCGGGATCTGACACAGCTCCATGAGTCTGGAAACAAATGGGGTCTGTCACCAAAGAAGTCCCATTAGAATGCAGGTAGGAGGCTGTCCGTGCGGGAGAAGATGCCGTGGGCGCGCGGGACGTTCCCCTCCCGCCTGGCGTTGGTGGTAGCTCGCGTGAGTGTCAGCGGCTCCGGGGGGTCCCGTCAAACCCTGCTCGCCCGGAGCCCGGCTGCGCCTCCCCGTGCGCGCGCTGAGCTCCCCTGTTTGTGCCCTCCCCTGCAGAAGTGGAGCAGATCGAGGCCATCGCCAAGTTTGACTACGCCGGGCGCTCCCCGCGGGAGCTCTCCTTCAAGAAAGGGGCCTCGCTGCTCCTCTACCACCGGGCGTCGGAGGACTGGTGGGAAGGGAGACACAACGGCGTGGACGGCCTCATCCCGCACCAGTACATCGTGGTGCAGGACATGTGAGTACGGCCAGGGCCTGCGCCAGGGCCATCTGCAGCCGCCCCGGCTTGCCCAGGGTTTGGTAACATTGCCGGTAATTCCTGGCCTGATCCCTTGTGCTCCCGGTTCTTGGCAGATTGTTTCCTGCTCAAGCTTTCAAAGCCAAACTCTAAGGACTAAGGATTCCCTGGGATGGCAGTGTCAGCCCGGGGATGCGCTGCCCCCATCGGTGCTTCCCCAGCTCCGGGGGTGTCTGGAGCCTGGTCTGGCCCTGGAGCGGCAGCGTTTGCAGCGGGCTCTGCTCGGATCCCAGCTCGGATCCCAGTCCCCGCTTCGTTCCGCCTGACGCGGGTCCCGTTTTCCGCAGGGACGACGCGTTCTCCGACAGCCTCAGTCAGAAGGCGGACAGCGAGGCGAGCAGCGGGCCGCTGCTGGACGACAAAGCCTCCTCCAAGAACGACATCCAGTCCCCGACGGATCATATCCCAGACTACGGATTTGGGGGCGTGATGGGCCGGTAGGGAAACCCTCTCGTTTTCCTGTGAACACAGAGGCGGTTGCTGCCGGGTTCAGGGTCGCATGCCGCGTCGGGCAGGGTGACACAGAGCGCCAGGAAGTGCTGCAGGGGGGTGTGACGTGCAGACCGCTCAACGTAGCTCCTAACGCCCAGGGAATGCCGTGCTCTCCCTTCCTCGGTCCTCCCTAAAACGTGCATCTCCCCTCGTAGCCTGGTCCTCGGGAGCCGAAGGGCTGGCCCGGGCTTTGGTGAGCGTTTCCGAGCTGACATTGTCTTGCAGCATGCAACCCGGGGCTTGCGATGTGTCGGGCCGTGACCTGGTCTTGTGATGGATTCTTTGCAGAGTGAGATTGAGGTCTGACGGCGCAGCTATCCCTCGCCGTCGGAGCGGGGGGGACACGCACAGCCCGCCCCGAGGGCTGGCCCCGGGCATGGACACTCCTCCGCGAGCGGCCGCCTGTCCTAGCAGCCCCCACAAAATGCCACTTAACAGAGGCAGGATTGAGAGCCCCGAAAAGCGCAGGATGGCGACATTCGGCAGTGCAGGCAGCATCAATTACCCAGACAGGAAGGCCTTGGCTGATGGCCACCCGCTGAGATCGACCTGTGGATCGACTAGACACAGTAGTCTTGGAGATCAGAAATCCCTAGAAGCAGAAGCGCTTGCTGAGGTAAGAGGGTTGTGAAGTGGCTCCTGGTGCTCAGGGATGGAGAGGCTGAAGTAAAACGCACTTGGATGACAGCACAGAGCCTCCTTCATCTCCGAGCACGGCCGAATCGTAGCACTGCTCTTGTAGCTGCGATGGTCTGAGAATAAAGATGAAAAGCCGAAGATTTGCCTGCTTCTCCAACCATAGTGCTGGTCTAATGAAAGATACTGCCTCCTTCTGCAAGCCTTGTTCCTTCAAAATAATAGGCAGAAATGTTTGATCCCCACTGAAGTGCAGCTGGCAGTTCGTAGCTCTTGCAGGAAGAGAAGTATTTTATTTTCCTTTGAAACTCTGTATGAAACTTAGGAGGAAACTGTGTTTGCCAAATTCAGATTTGCTCAACTAGTGTTTGGAGAAAAGGGCTTCAGGTTTGTTAACGGCTGGTTGTATCTAGGACCTCAAAATGTAAGTGTAAGCAGCATATGGTGCCAGCAGTCATGCCATGTCATCATTGTCACCGCGGCCATCGCTTCCATGGCTCCCCCCGCGTTCCCCCTGCCTGCAGCAGAGCCCCTGCTCCCTGCTGCAGACCCGGTCACGCCGCTCACCCTGCGGAATTCCGGCCCCGCGTCCCGGGCTGCAGGACGGCCCCGCGTCGCGGGTGGTGGCCGGGGGACGGTGGCGGCGGCGCAGAGCCCCTGCGAGCGCCTCAGCCCTGGCCCTGCAGCGAGGGGCAGTCTGCGGTGCGGAGGAGCCGCGCGGCTGGGGGCAGCGTGGCCGCCTTGGAGCCGCCGTTTCGTTG